AAAAATTCGTCTAAAAATGGAGACCAGCAACCTGTTTTTTTGCTTAATAATTAACTGCCAATAGTATATTACTTGTATTATGATTTCATTATTTGTGTTAAAGACATTTAATTTACCGAGATCAAACACAGTTTTATAGAACACTTTATTTTTTAATAATTTTTTTCTATATTTTAATTTATTTATTATTTTGTTCATTTACTGCGATGAGGAAACTGAAAGAGAAGGTGAAAAGCAAAAAAAAAAAAAAAAATTGTGCCTAATGTAAAAAGGCTGGTGGTCGTGGTCAGCTGGAACGTTATTGTAACATAAGTGGCACAAAATCGACCCTTCCGGTTCATTGAACGAACATAATATATACATCCGGTACAACAATATACTTTGGGATGGTATAAGAAAAACGTTTTTCTCGATAATTCTCAAACACGTAACTGTATGCGCACATATGTCTTTGAACATTTTTCATTTATATAAATTAAATCATCCCCAGACATTTTATCGAATCACTGTAATGTTTTATTATTATTGAGTGTGTTGATGTATGCTTAACGAGTATGCGAAGTGTTATAACGATAAAAATAAAATTATCTAACAGTATTAACATTATATACGCTTGCATACGATCAAATAATCAAATACGATCGATCATTGAATAAATTGACATTGGTAGATACTATAAATGCTTAAATGCTACAAATTTAATTCAGTATATTCCGGGTAAAATTTTAAATATAAGTATTGTTCAAAAATTAATTTTTCACAATTATAGTTTTCTCAAGTTAACATTTTAAAAACTATACATCAACAATTCGAATCTGCAGTTAAATAACTCCCTACTTAGATAGCTATAAATAATTAGTAATTTCAGGTGGCAAAGAATATATCATTGATCGCTTCTGCTATTATAGCGTTATGTTTTAACGTTTAAGATGTATACCGGTATGCGAGAGTTTTACCAAGTGTGTTCATAGAACAAAATATATTAATATACGGACTATGTGTTTATAGAATTGGATTTTAAATTCGGTCAAGATTTTGTTGGTATCCATATTTAGCAATAGTATAATTCATAAATTATAAACGATAATCTACAATTTTAAAAAAATTGAAACTTAGATTTAAATATTTAATAGTTTAATGATAAATAATACTACAAAAGTTGTACAGATACCGATATTTAATATCTATATTATTACTTTTTAATGAAAATATAAAACATATACCTGATAAAATATTATATAAATGTATAAAAAATGTATAATCAATATAATATTAATTATACATTTTTTTCAAACAGCTTAATGTGTTAATTATTTTGAAAATAAAAACACATCATTTTTGACACTTTTGAAACGCAATTATTCTAAGAATATAATTTTACTATGCCATTAAATGGTGATGGAAAAAACGCCAACATGGTTGTGAGCTCTGCATAAATTGTACATTATTATCAATGAAGTTCTATATTGTTATCATAATAGAATGCATTTGTTCGATATTATTATAAAACTATTTATAAGAGGTTGCGACTACCAAACACGCGGCAAGTAAGATTTCACTGGTTTGACGAACAATATTCTCTTATTGAAGTTGGTAAACTAATGTTTATTATCCATATCTGTGATACCAAGGGACGATACATACTAAATCAGTGGTTTCCAATTGGTGGTCTGCAAACCCCCAGAAGTCTGCATATTGATTTTAGGGGATCTATGATTGTGTAGTTCTATAATGGTTTTTTTTTATTTTATTTTAGCGAAATAATTATTTTTGTAGTAGTTTGAAATTCTGGGTGTTTTTGGACTGTTGAATCTCGATTATCACAAACGTAAAATTAAAATAAATCGTACATTTTTTTTCATTTTTGTAATTAAATAAAATTGAAAAATAAATATTTAGAAAAAAGGTATCAATTTAAGTTATAGCTAGGGGTCCGTGGCTTCAGAATAATTGGGAACCACTAAACTAAGTCATTGTTGTGTAAAGTTTAATAACTTTGATTACTTATCAATGCCGTTATTATTCAATGTTGATATGTTCACCTCTTAAAGTATATTCTATGTCAAAATTATATAATTATTTCTGTTCAAACTTAAACGCATAATTTTAGTGAGCTAATTACAAAATGTTAAGCTACAATTTTAATTAGAGACTTATTTTTTTTATTTTCTAAAATGCATAATAATTATTTATTTAATAATATTGGCAGTAAAATTATACAATATCAATTATTATGTAATACACTACTATGAACAATTTTTATCTTTAGATAGTTTTTTGTAATACTTGTTAATTGTTAATCATTATTTATTTTAATGTAATTATTTTTCTAAAAACGCATAATGTTTGTGATATATAACTCTTTAAAAACACATATTTTGGTATGAAAAAAATGATGCGCAAAAACAAAACCATTTTCTGTCTCAAAATACACCAATTATTGTAATAATTTAAAATATATCTAAGCACGTTCAAACTAAAATTGGCAACTAATATCAAGATGAATTATAAACGAGTAACGAGAAAAGTTTTCAAAATAATTTATAATTTCTTATCTGTGCTGTTTGACATTGATTAGTGATTACAAACAATGATGTACACCCATAGAATAAAATGCAAAATGTATAATACATTATTTATTGAAATTTCCGGGTGGTTTGAAATAACAAATAAATAGAGATACGAAATCTGCAAATTTGCAACGTAAATGTATTTTTATTTTTATTTTAAGAATATGTGTATATGACCAAAAAGCATATCAACTGATAACTGATAAATATATAATTTAAATTCTACAAAATAATCTATTACTATAATAAATTATATTTATTCAACTAAATGGATTTCCACTGCACATATTTGTGAAACTACATACCTTGTAGTTTAATGAAATTGTATAAAATATTATATATTATTTCCAAAATCATTCAACCGTTTCATCAAACTCAGTCAACAACTTGTGTATATTTATAATTTATAATACTCAGTATAAAGTAAATATCCGTTTAGAATAAAAGTATGGCAATATTTTAGTTATGATAAAATAACTAAATAATTCATGCTCAAGATATCGATGAGATTCCTATAACATTTTTTACTAATGGTATATCAAATACTCAAATACGTGGCAAAAAAAATTCCATTCATCGCTGGAACAGGAATAAACCTATATTTTATACAATATTTACGTATACCTACGTGATAAATAATTACTTGTATAGACTACATTTTTTTCAACCGATTATCAAATGAATAAAAATTGAAGTTAATTACCAGGACTCGGAAGTTGTAATGTTACTTTTTAGCTCTTAAATATGCTCTTAAATACTCTAAAATTTGCGCTATTAAATAACACGAAAATTCAAAAAATATGTATTTAACTTGAAAAAAATGTAATTTTACAAATTTTTAAGTTCATTAGACATAGTCTGGACTGATTGAATTATAAACTGCTAACATAAACAATAAATTACTTAAATATATTTGTAAAATTTACTTATTATTAAATTATTTTATTTGTTTACCTTGGAAATTAACCTAGATTATTAAAATGATTAATCATCTAATGAAATAATATAATAAGGGAATAACAATGACGTCACTAACTATTAATACATCAAATTTTCAATGAAAAGATAAAATAATATTTGATGAAGTCTATTTATTTTTAAATTTTAAAATATTTTTAAAAACATAACCAAGTAAATACAATTATTATCAACAAAATTTGATTATTTCCTACATTATGTGAAAATATACCCGGAAATAGCACTATAAACCCTAAATTAGGAATATAGTAATAAAACCCATAAATATGCAAAAAATAGCAAATTAAATTTTGTGTATGATATTTGAGTAGTGAGAAACATATTTTTATCTTACTTTGGATATTCTAGGATGAACCAAGAAAAGTATGCATTTGCTAGAACTTCCGAGCCCTGTTAATTATAATATAAATCACGATTTATTATTATACTTTATTATAATTAACAAAAAAAAAAAAAAGCCTTTTATATTGGAGTAGGTACCTATGTAATTTCTTTTATTATTAAATTTTGATTTTGTTCACTGCATTGATTTGTTAATTAAATCGCTATATTATTATACAGCATACTACAAATACAAATAAATAATGATAAAATGCAATAATAAGAAAGTAAATAATTTATTAAGTTTAAATATATTAAAAGGGTAAATTTGTATATACGATTAATTAGTCATGTTTAATGGTATATAAATGAAAAGCTATTTTAGCCTAAAAAAACACATTAAGGATACGCATTAATTTCAATGAATTGTTTCAAAGCTATAGAAAGACAAAAATGTAATATATTATGTGTATATATTGTATAATTAAGAGCAATATTATTCAAATACAATATTGAAATACATTACATCAAAATAAGTAATCAAATTGGTTGCAGTAAAAATTTAGTGTCCTCTGAGTGTTTATTTATTAGAAGTGCATGGATAAAACAATGCTATATTTCTCTTACTATCGCTTTAAAATAGCAAATTTCCACCCTATATGGCAATCAAATACAAAATATTATATTAAAATATATGCATTTTTAGTGTTATGTTAATAATTAAAAAATAGCAAATGAAATGTCTATATCAGTGATTCCCAAATTGTGAAGTGCGCCTCTCTAGGGAAGCGTAAGCATTTATTAAGTGGGACGCAAGACAAATATTTATATTGTACATTATACTAACTTATATTTATTTTTAGATTGATAATAATTTGCTTTTATTCAAATAATTAAAAAAAAATTAGTTTTATATACTACGGAGGGCACGATTATTGTTTTTGTTTTAGGGATGAGTGAATCAAAAAATTATGGTTTAATATAGATTCTATACTATATTCTGATTCAAATATTTCATTCGGTGTATTAATTGGACATTTTATATTTTAATTAACCCAATAAAATCAATACAAAATGTACTTAAAATGAATTATGATATATATGTATATTTTTTTATTATTATCACTTTAGATAAAATCCACAAAAATGGCACGTGATACACCGGACGAATCTGTTCCACTCGGAATCATCCCGGAAAATACGATAAGGGGATCGGTAATCAGTAGCAGATTTATCGACTCAGCCACCGATGGACTGTCCAATGGCCATATCAACGTATCGAAGCCGTTAAAACTAAGGAATCTCATATCCAAAGGAGAAGTATTCGATTCCTTACATCAGAATTCTACTACGGTAATTGGGTACTCTGCAGTATTATATTTATTTTTAACCATTTAAGGTGTAATACACCGAAGTAATTGCATTTAAGTTGAAAAAAAAATAACCATCCTGATTCTAACAATATTCAATTAAATGACTATGGAGCAAATTAATGTTAAAAAAAAAAAAAAAAGACAAATGATTATCTGACTTATCTCCCGACAGAATTTAACGTTTAAAAGCCAACTTATCTCGAGAGCAGAACGAACCCCATTGTTAAAATCACGTATTTTTACACGATGAAAATCAATATTTGTTATTTGTTACAGTTTTTACAGATTATTGATTTCATTTTTTTTTTTAAAAAAATTGCATGATATAATAATCTCGATGGCAGTTTAAAATATTTATTTAAAAGTTTAATAATCAATATATAAAAATGGTATAAAATATAATTCAGAATTTACATTTTTCTGTTAAAATGTTATCATTAAAATCAGATACTTGATTTTCAATCTAAGAACAAACTATATTTATATAAGTTATCACCATTTAAAATTATCAACTAATGCATTATGTATTTTCTGAAACTATTAAGGTTTTAATTTCGAACTAAATGTGAGCCATATAATTATTAGGTATATAAAACCATTTAAAAATAAATCAAAATACAAATTATTTAATCTTATTTCTAAGAAATTCGTATGTAAAATTTGGAAAATTCGTAGTTTAAAATTGTGTTAATGTAAAAGAGAGTACCTAGTAGAATGCAGGATTTTTAATAGCGTACTAATTCGTATAATTCGTACTACAAAAAAGAGGTTATACTTGGAACGCAATCGAAAAACTAGTAGTGTAACTCACTTCACTCTTATAGTTCACTGCCATTATAATTTTTTGAACTGTTTAAGTATCCATTAAAATAAAATTTAAAAAAGTGTTTTTTTTCTTCTTTCCCTCCCCCTCTTAGAACATAATTGAATTAATTGAATAATGAAACTTCAAGTATTATTATTTTAGATCACAAATTATATTAAAAAAATTCCAACCAATTCTAGTATTCAATACATTGTCGTGGTTAATGGACTGCATAGTGGATCCCTCTATAATATCTCAAACTTAATAGATAAAAAAAAAATTGAATTTGAAGATAGATTATTATTGATAAGTCACATACCAGATGTCTATAATAAACTGATAAAAATTATACAAATTTTAATTTTTTTTAAAGTCTCACTGACAAGTACAATGTAATATGAATTAAAATTAAAATTACTTACATCTACTTTATTTATAAACAAATTGTAAATCACTTCATTTGTTTTATACTAGGTTGTTTTTCGTAATTTCCTTTAAAACTTCTGGAAAATCTAAAAATTAATGCATTTTAATAAGCAACTGTATCCCAATTGAAAACAGGCTAGACAAAACTTTTTTCGCATTTCTACAAAAAACGCATTCACATACATTCTATACACATACACATGTATTTAACGAAAATATAAATGATTAAGCGCAAAGTAAAATCAATAGCTTTACCACATTATTCTTCATAGTTGAAAATAAATAGTAAACATCCTCGTATTCGATCTGAGTTCTACGATTCTATGGTATAGTATAATATTTTATTTTATAAATTATTTACTATCGAAAGTTATATAACATTAAACAATAAACTCTGATTATTATAGCATAATACTGTATATTTTTGAATAATTTTCATCGTTCGTTGTCAAACACATAATTGACATAAATTCTTTATGAAAACATGCATTATATATATACTTGTATATAATTTAAAACTATTATTTAGTTTTTCTATTTTCATAAAATTTAACATTAACTACTAAGGTAGTAAAGAATTTTTAAAACAAGTTTTGTGCATAAATTATTATACATTAAATTACACGAATAATATAAAATAAAACTTTTTGTTGTTATAATAAAAAATAAAAATCTTAATTTATAACTAAGTTATATAACAAATGAAAACCTTTAATAACCGCAAAGTTCAAGTTACTTGTTCATTGTAATTTTGTACCATCTAAAATGACCGTTGAAAATAATAGTATGTAAAACTCGTATCCAATATTATTTTAAATATTTTATATCCTAATAGCTAAAACAGAGTTTATTTTATTTTAACTAAGTTTATATTATTTATAGTTAAATAAGTTCGACCTAAAAATTTATATGATTCAATATAAAAAAAAATCAAAAAATTCAAACGTTTATTATTTTTCACATGTAATGAATAGGTATTATTATAATATATTATAATATTATTATAAATATTTTATGAGAAGATTTTATAGAAGTTCGTATGAGCATTGAGTACACCATAAATTACCAATCACTTAAACTTCCAAAATAAGATCATATATCATACGTTTTTTTTTTTATATTAATTTAAAAAAAAAATAATAATAAATGAAAGTTCAATGGTACATAAACTTATCATCTAAAAGATTTCAAATTCAACATATCAAGAAATAAAAACCCTTCGATTTTTTCTGTCACTTTCATATTGATTAACGAGTTTTTTTTTGATTTTACGCTAATAAAAAATCCAATCCAAAATCAGTTATATTGTCACTTAAGTTTGAACAAGACTATCTCCATCATTAGAATAATATAAAAACTTTTTATTTAAATCAAACTTCAATTTTCTATTATGTTATAATAGGATATTATGAAACTTATTTTCTTATTAAATTTATCGTACTGTAAATCTTTAACATTATTTTGAATTTCAATGCCTCAATGCCTCAATTAATGATTTAAAAGAATTAATGAGTATAAAATAGTTGTTTTTAAATCTGGTCTTAATTATAACTATTATTTTAAATTTTTAATATATTAACTTATAATACTTACTTATATAACATTATGGTTTATTAGTAATAAGCTCTAAAACTATAACCTTAAATTAGGATGCTTGAAAAATATTTTTTAAATTAATTATTATATAATTATAGATATAAAACATTTAAGACTTATTTTAAGTATTATAATTGAACAATATTCAACTTAAACTTATATATTTAAATAATAATATAGATATAAACGTATATTTTGAAACAAAATCATTAATTTTCCAAAATTGCTTAAGATTATAAACATAAGGATTAATAGTTTCGTTAAAAAATCAATAAAAATAATTAATGAAAATTCTTAATTTTTCCATTTTTTTTTTTTTTTTTTTTATATGAAACAAGATTGGAACAAGATTATAATTTTATTGTATGAGGTATTAAATAAATAACTATCAATTCAAATTTAAGTCAACTTATGTCAAAAAAAAGACTAAAAATCTACTATTTGAGTATAATAAAAATGTGTTGTTAATTTGCATTATTTCATTAAGAATTTTATTAATTTGATGTACATTGACTTGAAGCATTTTTAACCAAATCATTTTCTAAATATCAGATTATATAATTGCAACAGTAAAAGTATTAAATTAGTACTTCAATGTAATCACATCGATCTGGTCTTAAAGTTTTTAGCATTTATTATCTAGAATTATTATTATTATTGATATTATTCAAATTATACACACAATACTATAAACATATTTGATATGTAATTTTTGTTTGCATAACATTTTTTTTTTTTTTTTAAAAAAAGAACATGTGAAAATATTCTTCACTTTCTATATAATATACTTTCAGATAAATATTTTGAATATTTATCATCAATCAATATTTCTTAACTTAGTCAATTAAATTTTTTCTTTTCAAAAAAAAAAGAAGACTTAAATGAAAAGAATAATTTGTATTGAGTAGAAAGGCATTAAAAAAAAAAAAAAAAAAAAAAATGGTTATGTCAAAGGTTTGGACACTTAAAAAAGCGATTTAAAAAATCGTATTTTTTCATCCATATTTTAATAAAGTCTGGTGGATAGATCATTTGAATGTATTACTTGACTAGCTGTTAAATTTGTACTTTTGTCATTTTTACTTAAATTTAAAATTAAAGATTATAAAAAAATTGTCAGGCTTTATTAAAGGTCCTACAGTATTATACAAGTAGAATATTAATTTTATACTTCACTCAAAGAAAACTATATTCTAATTTTTTTTAGAAAATTTTACGAATAGACATATTAATACGCGTAGATACATTGAATAATAAAACTTAACGCAATTCGTACTCCGATCATATTAGTGAAATTGGCAAAGGTTGTATGTAAGTTCGTCCTACCGGGGTGGTGCCCCGTTAAAATTTTTTAAATTTTTAAAAAATGTTTGTATACATTTTAGTTAAATTAATTTAATTTTTATAAGTATAATAGAAAATTTATAAACCTATTTAGTGATACATAATCAACATTTTAACCAAATTCAAAGCAATTATAATGTAAATCAAGTGAAATTAGTGCAATTTTTTCGGGGCAGAAAGCAGTCTTTGTAAAATGTAATTGTTCAAACGGCCTCTGGAAATTAGAATTACATTTTTATTTTAAATCTAAATTTTAATAAACTTAAACAATCCACCGATTACGTTATTTGTAACCACCAAATTTTTAATTCTTTATTATTAATCTTGATTAAATGCTCACTATGATTTCTATTGATAATTTTAATATAATTTTTCGCAAATGAATTATAATATTATAATTAAATATAATTATAAATATAAATATAATTAAAAAATTGGTGCTTAAATTGATTGGGTATTTGCAATAAAACACCATAAAATACGGTTTAACCAGAGTTTTTCAAAAGAAAAACTCATCATACTTTCATTATTTTTCAAGATTTATTGTGATAAAGGTATATTTAAATTTAATTTAATCTAGAAAAAAATTACAAATACCATAACTCACTAATTACTTTCAAATATTGATCTACAATACGTAATGTTTATATTTACTATAACGTCTCCTACAAGCCCAACTGTTTTCACTAGAATTTTAGAATTTTCAAGCAAGAAAAATATATAATTACATATATAATATATTAAACCAGTACCGATTTCTGAGCATAAATGACATTCTATTCAAATCTGCTGTATTACTTATCCCGATC